TACTGATACAGAATAAAGAAATGATTTGATCCTTCGAGCCTTGCCAAGATATATGTGATTTTTGCGATAAGCTTATATGTGGTGGCTCTTAAAATTTCAGCTGTAACTGCCTTTGTGATTCTGCAGTATAATTTTAAGGTCAGATATACCCGGAGATATATAACTAGGCATGATTTGGTTACAACGTGACGCTTTATTAACTTTTGATATGATAGTAACACAATATTTTTGCACATCTACATTAAAACTCGACATATCTATTGAAGATGTTTGAATAGCCATGGAATTAATAAGCATTTTCTAAAGAGTTGTATTGATATTCATTATCATTGGAACCCAATCACTATATCGTTGCCGTTGCTTCACGAGTAGTAAGCGTGTTGATCTCTGTAGTGAGATCTCCTCGTCATCACAATTGAACATACCCTTGGTCCGAACACCCAGACAATTAATGAGTTCCAGATTTTGGTCGTAAACCTTCATGTTCTGTTCCATATTCGTTAGTAGAGACAATATTCATCAAAATGGCGGATAAAACATTGTGCAGAACGAGTTGGAAATGTTGCGAACGGGATTATCGACAGGCTATAGCGTTCRGAATACACAACGTAATGTGATTGGCTACCGGATATATAATTCACAATGTGATTGGCTACGAAGATGTACCGAAGCCAAACTTTCGAGAAAACCAAGAAAGTGACAGCATTTTACTACACGTCCCCTGCATAGCAGGGTACGTGTAATAAGAGTCATAAAATACCTAATGACATGCAGTATACTCATAGCCTTCATCTTTCTAAATTTATAACAATAGGAACAGCACCTAACTGATGAGATTCCACTTGAATGTGAAGAAATGCCAACAGATCATGTTTTAACTTGACGATCAGCGATCGTTTACATGGGCTTCCTGTGGTATCACAATCAGCAAACGAAGAAGTCAATGACAATAGTTTTATTGTGGTAATTGAAGAATTGTATTATATTGAGCTCTAATAAAGTTAATATTACTCTTTTAATGAAAAATAATAAAACAAGCAATGTACTTTATAGCATTAAGCATAATATTGTGAAAGAAGTAAGCATGTTTGACGAGCCATTCCGCGTAAACACAGGTCGATAGTCTTTCATGTTCTTCGCTTGAAATACTTCCAATCATTTCATTTTCCTCAGTATAACCCTGTTGGGATTCCTTTAGATAGTCTTTTGTGATTGCAGAGCCGTATATAATTCGCTTAAATTCACGATAAATTCACGGTATCCCTACAAATGCCCTTTCGAAAAACGCTCGACATCATTTAGTGTTTCTGTACCGCGAATGACACGTGGATTTGTAAGAGATTTGAGCGTATTTGTATTAGCTAGATCCGTGCTTTCTATCTCTAAACGATCCTTAAACTTTCCGAAATGAAGCACGAGGCAATCTTAGAATCGTTGCTTAGGAACATGAATGACAATAACAC